TTAATGAGATATTTCTTTTTGTCTTCGTTAAGAACCATACAAATTTGCTCCGCTTTCTTCTTTAAAAAGAAAAAAAAGCGGTTGTTAAAGATGAAGATGTCAATATCATCCACTACGACAGTATTAAGTTGAAGAGGTCCCACGATAAAAAGTGGCCCTTTCTGAAACGTCGTTCAGTTTTCTGGTGTTGCTTAACTTTTTAACCCAATCCTGACATAGCGGGGTTGAGGTAGCGCCTTTTCGTACCAAATCCTTCTAAATATCCCATCAAGATAGCTTGGCCAAAGGGAAAATTTGTTTAACCTTCGACATTGGCATTGAGGTAAATGGTTTTAACGATGAAACAATAAGCTTTGATAGGTGATCTGCATTATTCAACAAGTGATGAAATAATTGTCAAAATTACTTTCCACTGATTGAAAAACTCAGTGCTTCATAAATTTAAAATACATTTTTTACATGCATCCCTTCAAGTAGTGTATTCATGTAGATATTTAATGAATGTCCCGACACTTGAAGTGTGACCGCCCGGTCAACTAAAATTGCAGGCAATAATCAGACAAGCTATTTATTATTAACCACTTCTTTTGGTATACATATGTATGTACATATTCTTCCTATACATACTGATATATATATATATATATATATATATATACAAATACAGTAGTCCTAGCAGAGAAAAATACTCGTTTTTAAATAGAATCCAACGAGTTTACATTTTTATAAAATTCTAACTACTTAGTCTTCCATCTTTATACTAGTTAAATACTAGTTTATCTAGTCATGTTGTAACCTGTAACATCGTTTTGCGTACTTCAACTCAGTGAAATAGAGGATGGAGCTCAACATTGGCTTTATAATGTTAGATAAAGGGTTTTCCAATAAGAGGTGTTATTTTGAATAGCCTGCTACTCCGGTAGATGTCACATTTGAAGTAATTTTTTGACATTTGACAAGTAAAAACTACGCCAGTAATAAAAAATGGTACGATAGACGTTTAAACAAAGCATTAAAATTATTAAAATTTACTACAAAAATGATGAAAACCTTGGCAGAGGCGTTTCGTAAATATAAAACATTATTCGGTCATCGTGATTCACCTTAACGGACCGCAGTACTGAAATTGGGGAAAAAATGGCGCTGTTGGAAATAGTTAGTAATATGATGAATAAAACCTGATAATATTGACGCTGTAGGTTAAGTGGGTTGAAGGAAAAACAGGGTTTCACACTCTTGGGCATTCCACAAACGTCATCACACTATATTTTGCATAAAGACTCGGGTCTTAAGGCTTATAAAGCTCAGTTATTGCAAGAATTCAAGTTACGACTTTGCTGATTGAGCCCTTGAGATGGATGAAATTGATCCGAAATTTCAGCGAAAAATCAACTTGATTAACGAGGCCCGTTTCCGCCTCATTGGCTACTACAATAAGTAAAACTAACGCATTTGCGGCTCGGAAAGCCTGACATTTATTATTGAAAAGCATCTCCATCCTCAACATGTAAATGTTTTATGTAGTTTATGGTCCGGCGGGTTCATTGGACCTTAGTACAATAGGTTGGAGCAAAAGCTGCGGTAATTGAATTCCATTATCGAGAGATGATTAATGATTTTTAATGGTCGGAATTGGATGGTATTGATCTGGACAACTTTTACTTTCAACAAGACAGCGCTATGTGCCACTCAAAAGCAACGAAACTATCGATCTTTTAAGAGAAAAGTTTCCGCTAAGTGTTATCTCTCGAATAGGTGATCGCAATTGGCCACCAAAATTTTGCGATTTAACCCCATACGTCTTCTTTCTTTGGAGCCAAGTGAAAGATAAAGCCTACACCAACATGCCAATGTCGATTCGGGACCTCAAAAATACAATCCGTGAAGCTTGAGAGGGCATACAGCAGTCACTTTGAAAATTTCATAAAAAATATACGGTCCTGTAAACGTGGCTGATATTATTTTCCATTATCAATGGCATTGAAATAAACATTCGATCCTATCCCATGATACACAAATGACCCTAGTTTTTAACTGGAATTTTCGCATACTATTCTACCTTCTCCCAGCTGGGGTACCACAGAAGTCAGTCTCGAACATCAATGTTAAAGTAAATATAAAGGCGTTTCTACGCCTTTTATGGCGCCATATGGCGGGCCATTTGTTTATGTGAATGCATAAAATACAACAACAACATGCAAAGCAACGAAATAAATGTAAATAAAAAAGCCAGAAAATCAAATAATACGAGTATAATATACAAGTGGTTAAAGGGGAAAAGGGTTAAAAAATTACTGTCCACTTTAGTTGTGTTTGTATGTATTCATTGTATTGAGAAAAAGTCCTGCTGTAGTGGAAGTAGCAGACATGTCTGTAATTTAACGGTATTCAACCATTTTAAAAATGGTAGACATGCACGCGAATATAGAAACACATAACTGCACGCACATACAAACGTACATACACGTACATATCTGCGTGTATGGGTGTTGATTCATTTGATGAATTCACTTTCACTATTGGCACACGCGGAATTTCCGCCACGTGGTCGCATTGATATACCATACACATACATACCTATCATAGAGACATTAATCAGCAACAAATATATGTAAAGAAAATGAAGGAAATTTAAAGTTAAAAGAACATACGAAATACATGCATGTATATTCAATACATAACTAATTTCGATAGTCTTCTTGTTATTCGTAGAACTCAATCTGTTAGATACCGAGTTTAAGAATTAAATAAATAATTTCAGGCGACAAGAATTATCCTCCACATTGACATTATGGGTCTGCATATTGTAGAGCTGCAGTGCAGCTGCAGAAGACGTCAGAATGGAAGCTGACAAGCCAGGGTCCTGTCACTATAAGGAAGACGAACTTTTGCATAGCCTTCACTGATTTCACGAGCAGGTTAGGCTAGGTTGCGGTGGCTACCGATCTATCAGACCGGATTCACTTAGGCCTGACTTAGACCCTTTGTCATACCAAAAAAACTTAAACCATCACTAATGAACCTCATTGCTTCCATGACTTTGACGTCAGCTATCTTCGATAGAACATCGAACAGTATTGTCTCAAAATTACGAAACCTCGCCCTGCTCAGTACGGGACAGTCGCATAAGAGTTGGGTGATCGTTACCTTCTCTTCACTCTCCTTGCAGATTCGGCAGCATCTTCTATAGAGGGACTTCACGAGCAACTGCATGATGATTATTTCGGATAGCAAGAACAAATGAGATTGTTCTTAGGTTGTTTCAGCATATACAGGCACGATCCAATTTTATACAAATGGTTCAAAAAAACAATACTCAGCAGTGGAATCTGTTAAAAGGAATTGGCGATTGGCTAGTCCTTTCGGCAGGCCTAATGGCGATAGAGAATTTTTGCCAATCACAAAGCGTGATGGCCAAGCAGCTTCATTACATGTAGTACGGGAGTCAGAACACAGTAACATGCCATTTAACGAGATGGCGTTCGCGCTTGCAAGAAAGTGCACTTTCACCATCATGAATGTGATTAGAGTAATGTGGTCGACGAGATAAGAAAAAATGTCTATAGAGCTTATTTCGCTTAATTGGCGCTTTGTAACCGTTGAAGCGAGTTTCGGCCGAGCTCCTCCTCCATTTTGTGGTTTTGCGTCTTGATGTTTTTCCAATAAACGGAGGGATCTACAGTTTGTGCTAAGCCGCCTCCGAACGGCCAATTGATTTTCATAAGGCTTTATGGCGGAAGAGAGAAAAGCCATGGTAGTATGCTCTGCTAACAACTCGGATACTCCTTGTAGATTTAATTCTCGTTACTTAGAATACATATATAAATAGAAAATCCTACTCGAGACTCCATTTATGTTTGATTCCGAAAATTTGCGCGTGATTTATATAATCTTGTATACAAACATATATCAATGTTACGCAAAAGTCCTTAAACTTTAAAAGAACGAGCTTGAATTTGTATATATATATTTTAGTTTAATGTCCTCTGGCTAGTTCGGAACCTTTATATATGTGTGTGCGTTACCTCTGACCTTCTTTGTTTAGCATTTCCGATGTGAACTTTTTCCATTTATATTATATATTCGTTAGGCGTAGAGGGCGTTCGTTTACGTCTTTTTTTGCTTTAATTTTGTGTTTTTGATAAATATGCGAAGGTGTTGCATGTAAAGTGCTGTGAATATTTCAATGTCAGATATATACATATGTATTTGTTATATGTGTTCTAATATCGCTATATAGTATAAATATATGTATATAATACACCCTAGTACATATGCGCTTCTATATAACATAATCGAAGACTTCAAATACTTTGAGTGCAAAAATATCAATGCGAAAGCTCATTAAATTGATTATCAAAACAACTCATAAAAAGATTTTATTATCGCCGGGAATGATCATTGTTTTCCCTTTAATTTGCTTCCTTCTTTATCAGTCAGGCACGCTGCGCTTAAAAAGGGAATTTGGCAATGAATGAGAATTGAAAATCAATCAGATCAGACCGGTACCAGACCCAAAGTTTTCCTGTGCAATGTCTTCCACGCCTGACCAGTTTGTATGCTATACTTACAGGAAGGCCTCTGATCATATGAGCCATCAAATGCTAGGAACGCTTGCCGCGGTAGATGATTTTTCGATCAGCTTCTTAAGGCCAAAATTATAAAAGTTGTGCTTATATTTGAACACGTTTGCGGCATTCTTTCTTCGTTCTCTTAACATCAACGAACTAACTTTGCAACTAGCCAACGCTGTGTTGGCCGCTCTCTTATATACCTCAGCGATTGCTCGTACTCAGTTCTAGTAATTTCGAACATATCGACCTAGCCTTAACTATGCAAAATAGAAAGCTAAACAAATCGGCTTGTTTATATGTTAAAGCTATCCGAAATATTGGAAAAACTGTTGTTGCAGTGTTTGCTAGCTTTTATTTATAATTTCAATTAATGAAAACAAGCTTTTCAGAATAGTAGTGCAATTTATTTTGGTAGTAACTTTAAATTTTTCCTACTTCCACACATTAAGAATGTGAATATTACTCCAATCATTGAGCAAGAAGAAGCATTTGTTTTTAACAGCTGTTCTTGTTTTCCTCGCTTAGAAGTAAAATTAATAACCGCGTTTGTATTTTCGATATGACTGATCCTGAGCCAGATTTCAATAGTTTGTTGGATAATATTGTTTTAGCCGAAGAAAATCTTAATCGCGAAGGCTACGAAGAAGGTTTGGAAGAAGGACGAGCACGTGGCATTAAAGAAGGTTACCAATTGGGCTACGCACAAGGCGTGCAGCTGGGTGCAGAATTAGGTGAAATTTACGCTCTTGTTGTATATCAGCAAACAAAGGCGCATAGCGAAAAAATACAACGTGCACTCCAACAGCTACGTAAGAGTATAGACGACTTTCCTCGTGATAATAATCCAGAAGCTGATATAATTGGTGCAGTGGAGAGCATAAGAAATCAATTTAAGCGTGTGCGTATACTAACTGCGGGCAAAGTTGGAAAGGTGGTGAAGAAAGTAAGCGACAACAGTAGTAGTGTGGAGCAGAAAGATAAAGATTTATCTTTCTAAAAAAGCAGCAAAATACATAGCAAAATGAGTGCCAATCAAATACGTGCGCTTTTGGAGGATATATTGCTTTTCATGCAACCACATTGGGAGTTTGTCAATTGTCACATGGTTAGCTATATAACTGAAAAACATTGGCAGCATTACGTACCCAAAGAACTCAAATGTGAAGTGTCTGATGTGGAGAGCGTACAACGCTGCATTGAAGAGGTGTTTTGGAAGAGCACACAACCGGCCGTTGACGAGTGCAATTTCAGCTGCTTTAAGCGCTTTGTAGCCAATTGTGAAAAATATTATTTGGAGAGAAGTAGCGACGTGCTCACACCCATGTTGGAATTACACAAAACACTCGGCTTGAATGATGCGCAGCAAAATTTGTCAATTAAGGAGTTTATGAGCGAGAAGAAGCGACATGAGGTAAGGCAAATTGATAGATAATGCAACTTTTGATTACTTGTAAAATAACGTTTGCACAATTCATAGGTTGAAATAACTGCCAAGCTGGTAGATCGCTTAGTTCATAGTCTATCGGAGAATAAAAATGATCGAAAAGTATACATTGTTGACGCTGGCGATGGCAAAGGATATCTGTCATCTCGCCTGGCATTGCAATATGGTCATCGGGTTTTGGGTATTGATTTTCAGGAATTGAACACCGAAAACGCTTTGGAACGTAATCGCAAGCTGCAGGTATTTATTTTGTAACTTACTAAAAGCTTTACAATTTTTTCATAAGCATACATATATGCATGTGTTCACATATGTAATAATTTTTCATTTTAAGCGCGTTTGGAATGGCTTGGTTAAACGTGCGGAATTGCAGCAGCAAGGCATAGCGCCCAAACGACGTGGAAAAAAAGCTGAATTACGCAAAGAACCATCCTCATTGCAAGAAGCAGAAAATCATAACAAGGAAGCACTCTACAAAACCACAGCCGCCTTTATTACACCGGACATAAATATTACTGAACTTTTACAAAAGCAATTCCCTGATGCCACTGAAACCGCCAACATTTGTTTAACTGGTCTACACACTTGCGGCAACTTGGCTACAACCTGTCTACGACTCTTCCACGAACAAAAACAATGTAAATTAATTTGTAATATCGGTTGCTGCTATCATCTACTCCAAGAATCCTTTGCCCAACCGGAATATTTTGAAAACGAAACCATTAGTGCACTTCAAACAACAAACGGTTTTCCCATGAGTAAATTTCTCCGCGATAAACAGTTAGCCATGGGTCGTAATGCACGCATGTTGGCCACACAATCATTCGAGCGTGTCACCAGCGAACGTAGCAGCATGAATATATCACTATTCTATCGTGCACTTCTGGAGGTATTGATTTCTGAGCGCGCACAAGAAATGAAACAAAAATTACAAGTTGGTAAAATACGAAAATTTGAGAATTTCAATGAATATGTTGCGTTGTGCTCTAAAAAGTTTGCCACCCAGCATAACGACTTGCATTGGCCAACGGAATTGGTGGATCAAATTCAATCACAATATGCTGCCGATGCGCATTATATGCATTTATACTATTTACTGCGCATGTGTTTTGCACAAGTACTCGAAAGTCTTATATTGTTGGATCGTTTGTTATATCTCAAAGAATTGGGTTATGAACGGAGTTATTTGGTATCTGTATTCGATGCTGTTATATCGCCGAGACGTTTTGGCATTATTGCACTCAAGGACGAAGACAGTTGACGTAGAGATACAGCAGCGTGTAAATGTTTAATGCAATCATAATAAGTAAACTAATTAATATGGCGTATTGTAAAACTGTAGAACAGCTTATTTATACGAGTAATTTTATGATTTATGTATGTTGTTGTAAGAACGAATTGCTGAATGAAATTTTTGCTTGTATATACATATGTATATGAACATATCATTATAATATATAATATATGTAATAAGCCATAATTATAAACACGTCAATTCATTTGTCATTTTAGCAGCTTATTGCGTGTGTACCGTGTAAACAACAGCAAGGCACTTAATAACGTTTATTTATAAAATCTTGCATTATTCATACATATCTTAATTTAATCGTTATTTAGAGCCAATTTCATACATTGTTGCCTCAAAGGTGAAAATCAGGCCCTCATTTGCATTGGTATTGGTATTTGGCGTAATTAATTAATAACGTACCTACATTTATATATAAAAGGCCTTTCATATGTGTATTTATATATTAAAGATAAAGACGACGCGAGCCTATGTAGTCTACTAATTTAGCGGTTGCTTTTTCTTTTTCTTCGTTTTTTTTTTCTTTTGCTTGTAAAACACTTAAAATTTATATTTTCGGCTTTGATAACATTTGGGCAAAAAGTACTAGCACAAGTGAATGCATAGAGATTATGTATATGTATGTATGTATGCAGCTTCAATTAAATATTTTAAATAAAAGCCTCAATCGGCAGTACTACCGCACCTAGTATTGTGTGGTAAACGCGTAAGTAAAAACGTTAAAAGAATTTTCAGCTGAATTTTGATAACAGAAAATTTCGAAAAGGTATTTATTATCAATATGAGTTTGCATAAATTTTGCGAATGAATAAGTGTGTAGAAAAGAAAAAAAGATGAAGATCTTTTAAAAGTAATAATGATATTTTTAAACCATATGCATGTATTTGTACGTATATATATGAAAACGCGTAGGAGAGTCTATTAAAAAAGTATATAAAGAAAGTCTCTATCCCTAAAAAGTGTTCAGTGTTCAGTGTTCAGTGTTCCAAAAATCGTGAAAGACCAAGTAGCGATAAAAAAGTGTTTTTTTTTTGTTTTTTGTACATTAAACAAGGTGATTTTAGATAGAATTTGAAGCTTTACAGCAGCTCAGGTGAGTTTTGGCAGGGCTTCTTCTATTTGTGTTCCAAATAAAAAAAATTTGAGCCACCTGCGAACGGCTAATCGTTGTTATTGTAGTTGTTGTAACCGCAAAAACATTCCCTCAAATTGGATTTCGGGGATTAATACGGTTGTACTAGTTCTTGGCTGGGTAAAAAATCGGTTTACTTCACTATTATCCCGAATATTGTTGTTGTTGCGGCAGTGACAGTCCTTGACGGGATAAAAATTCAGGTTTATCTGATATAAAGACACGACTTTCGCCTCTTACAACGGGCATACCTAAAACATGCGGCAAAACTCTTGAACCTCAACCTCCCAGAGTAGGAATGTCTTCTGTAGTAGTCTATAATATATATAACTGTCACCAGGATTCGGTGGTGTGCATCTTGCTGCTTTCACAAAGCAAACCAGAGGGACAGTTTATTCTCACCCATCTACGAACGGAGGAAAGATTCTTATGAGGAGCTCTTTTTACGTGTCAAAACTCCACTCAACAGGTTGATATTCCCTGCCAAGGATGTTGGACTCGAATCCTGGTTTTCCGAATGGAATGAAATGGATTACGCCTGTACCGTAAGTAAGTGCATACATGTGTATGTGTTGCTTAGTTCGTGATCCGCCGGTTTTATATGTGTTCAACAACGAAGAAAAGACGTTTAGCATACTGGGAGCTTTTTTGCTATCTTATATTGTACATAAGTTACAATCATTAGGTCCTTTACTCTGGTCCCAGTTTTCTTGGATAGATTCTTCCTCTCCTTTCTGCCCTTTTTCAAACAATTCTACTTGGACTTCCCTAAAAAAGTTATCCGATTCCACGCCCACGCGTACTGTTAGTAAGCGAGTTTGTTAAGGATCAGTTCGCGTTTATCAATTCGTTCGTTTCCTTCGATGCGCCCATGACCGACACCACTGTAAGATCTACTTGTTCTATTTGACGACAATTTAACAGAAATTCGTGAATTTTATCAGAAGTCACCAGCATAAACTTCTGCTTAAATTTTGAATCAATTCGGGTGTGGACCAGAGGGAGGGCGGTGTCGGATTAACCTATTTTAGCAGACATGCAAAGAGCAGCTTACTGATTGCAGTTCCAGAGTAATTGAAAGAAGAGAACTCTGTCCACGGGTGCACCTTTAGATAGTTACACATCGCTACCCAAGATAGCCTCTAAGGAACGTAGTTGTTAATCTATTTAAAAGGTTGCGTTTCTAACTAAACCCCCCAAACCAGTCTATGCAATGGAGTGGCGGCTGCTTTTTTCTTTTTGGCAATCATGCTGATCGGCACACAGCACCTCTTCGTCGATTTTAAATCAGCCTTCGAAAGCACGGAAAGGAGTTGTCTCTACGCCGCTAGGTCTAAACTTGGTGACCTCACAAAGGTTGTACAGCGACGTAAATTGAATTGGGAAGGATCTCTACGAGACGAGAAAATAATACGAACTGCGGAGCTTAATAGAGAAGGCACAACACAATAGATGAGACTTAAATTTGAACCTTTATATGCTTAAAAAGTATCTTCAAGACGATCTTTAGCCATTCCCGTATTGACTTTAAGGAATGGCTAGTTGTTTGGTTGGTTGGTTGGTTGAAAGATGGTCGAGGATTTAATGACCTGACCTCAAGTAGTCACATTTCAGTAGTAGTGAAGCTATTGTGCTCTCCGAGTTACGCGTTGCTTGATTAACATTCATTATCTTTAGCTTGAAACAACGTGAAGACATTTCAATCGCATGCAAGTCGGGCACCCACAAGAATAGTGCTCCAGCTTCACATTTACTTCAGTGTTCACTCTGCCTTCAGCCACTTTCACCTAGATTTTTGAAGAAAATATCTCGAGGCTAGATTCCGCTTCACTTTTCCTATAATAATATTAAGTTCCCTTTAGCTCAATGCAAATAAAAGTTTGGGTTGCCTCACAGAACTTAGTAGTAATCTTAATATGGAAATGCAAAAGGACCTTGAGTGTTCCTCTAGGGTTCACTGCTTTAGGAAACATTTGAAGGCGCTGAAAGGTGTCTGAAGCTATTGATGGTGCCAACATCGTCAGAGGCACCAGCGCGAGATAGCACGGTCGCTTTTTTGTTACCTTCTACAGTCTCGGGATGAAGTGAAGGATGCTGTACTTTCACCCGAGAAAGTCTGCTAATTGTCTCCTTACTAGCTCTCACACAAAATCAATGGGTTCCCATATTAAAGAAGTTGCCCTTCTTCTGCAGCTTCAATAATACCCACAATCTCTACTTGGAATACAGAGTTGTAAATTTTTATTTTGCACCGTATCCTGTCTCGTATTTAGACCCATCAGTGTATGTACAAATATAAATATCTTCAGTATTACTGCCGTCCGCTCAAGGTTTCCTGTTCCAGAATGAAATGAATAGAATAAATCAATCTCACAGTAGGTTATTGTTGTTGTAGCTCTTGCAGGAGTGACAGTTTTTGGCCGGATAAGAAATCAAATCGTTTCGGTATAAACACCCGACTCTTACAACAGCTATGCCTTGAATTGAGTTGAGTTGATGCGGCTGCTGGTCAACCTCAGCACACTTAGGCTAATAGGCCCATTGTGATACCGCTGAGGCTCCTGCCTTCACCTTCTCAAATGGTTCGTTCATTTCGTGTGCCTTATAAAGGCAACGAGATTACCAATGCTCACTGAGGTCAACTCAGCGTGACAGTCTGAAGAAATGTTTCCCAAGAAACTTGTGTTTCGCGGTTGTCAAGGCTGGACAGTGGGAGTGGTAATGCTCGATGATCTCCTCCTCTTCTTCGTCGATAAAGTAAAATTCTGTGAGGCCGCATTAAACAAGATCCAGTTATTATATCAGTCGTTATGTTAACGGATAACCGGTCCAGAAGGATAAAGTGTTTAATTTTGTTCGCTTCCAACTTCGGTCATAGCTGTCTGGTCGCGTTACACGTGATCTCGTTCAACCATCGTAAGTCAGCTTCCTTGCGAGTTGCATTTTGTAAGCCCACAAATTAAGATCTAGAAACAAAATCTTTCATAAAGTGGATGGGCCTAGCTTAAATTGTGGTGCGTGTTGGCGAGGATCGACTCACTCGGATCTTCTGTGATACTCTGCTACACAGCAGCAATAGCATGGTCAGTGTACACAGTACGGTCTCTCTGAGGATGCGCATCATCAACTAGAGTAAGCGCCATATGAAACCGTTCCACGGCTGCTCGAGTTACCCACTCTGCTGGGCGACTAGGTCGACACACGAATATTGGACACAGTACGCGATGAGTTACTGAGGCCACCTATTTACCATATTTTGTTTAACAAATCATTATTCTCTCATTCTTTATTTTTATTTTAATATTTTTTTGTTTGTTTTTGCTCTGAGAGATAACCAAAATTTAATTTGCAAAGTCATTGAGTGCAAAGAACACATAGTAGACTGCACAATCACCTAAATATTAGACATTCTTGGAAGTTTCTGCAAATTGTTTATAAATAATCTGTTTCTTATCAATTGTTTAGCTTTCGTTTTCAATTGTTACCAATTGATTATGCTTTGTTATCAGCAGGTTTTTTTTATGATTTTGTGAGCAGCTTTCTAAAATAAAACTCTTTGGGAAAAAACTCTTAAGCCCTTAAGTACGAGCCTGATATCAATTTCATTCTAACGATTTTATCAGTTATGATTTATGGAATATTTATAAAAAGAATAATTATATGTTAAAAAATAAAAACAATCGTTGCTGCCATAAAAAAAAACCGCAAGTTATGCCTTCAGCTACCATATAATTGGCGCTTTATAGCCGCTGAAGCGATTCTCGGCCGAGCTTCTCCTCTAATTTATGGTGATGTTCTTTCAACAAATAAAGGGACCTATAGTTTATTCCAAGCTCCCTCGGAACGGCTGATCGACTTTTATAACTCTCCTTCTATTTCCTGTCAGAACGCACGCTCAAATGACTACTTTATTTATGGGATCTGCTTAATTTAATGCCAGCTATGGTAATGAACCTCAGGTAAAATTTTGATCTGCAAAAGATTGACAGAAGGTTCGTTCCTTGCAGGACAATATAAAACATTCGCTCGAGGCTTTGGATAATTTTGAAGCTTTTGAAGCTATTTTGGCCAGGCATTTGTCACTTCGATATTTATCATTGGTATTTCCAGGTTTCTATAAATATTTTCGTTGCACAAACACCACGGTGCACCTGTGAGGTTTCGAAGGATGCCGGGAGAAGAGAAAGGAATTTCAAGGTCGCAGGGTTGCCACAATCGCGGCAATATAATCAGTATCATTACCTTATTGTCAGATCTCGTGCACCTCAGGGTTTTCAGCTCACGAGTACTTATTATACATTCGACGG